AAAAATCGGAGCTCGTCATGCTGAGGTCAAATATCTATAGAATTTCTATACCAAATTTCATAAAGATCGAATGATTAGTTTTTGAGCTACGTTGCACGGCGTGCGAAATTTTGCGTTTCGAGAAAAACGCGTTTAAAGTTTGAGTAATAGAAAAATCGTGAAAAAATTCGTAATTCGTTCTAACTTACCGCAGTTTTTTGCTAATCTGCGATTCCAGGGCCATAGAGTAGACCCTCCTCTTCTTCAAACTGTTCTAATTGAGCCGTTTTTTGCTGTTGAGCAAAAAAGAGCGCTCGACTATTTGAGTGCTTCGCCCAATTCGACTGTTTACTTTCTTTTGAAAATAAAGTACAAGGACCTCTCGGATCACTTTCTAACTTTTTTTCTCGTATTTTTGAGGAAATTTCCTATCAATTTAAGCAAAAAAATAAAATGGCTAAAAAATTTCATTTTACATAAGGTTCCCCCCTTAATTGCAATTTATTAAACTAAAATTGTATCTTTCTCTCCTCTTTTCTCCTAAATGTTTCAAATATAGGAAATGAAATGATCATAGATAAAACGAATAGATGTTAATTTTGAATTAAGTTAATATTTCTTATGTATTTTATTTGTATATGTTATTTGTAGATGCAAATGTATTTATTGTATAATTTGAATGAAATTGATTTTGTTGTAGCCGCGCATGTGCAAATAGGCATGGGCTTATTCGCAAATACGGTCTGAACATCTGTCGACAATGCTTCAGAGAATATGCAGCTGATATTGGTTTCAAGAAGGTAAAAAATATCGATCTATTTCTTTGCCACTTTATAAAGATTGTGTTCGGTTTCAATACGCTAACTTTTATTCTATTATTGTCACTTATTACTTGAGAAAGGAAAATAAAACGAAACTAATAACATATGAGCAGTGAAATTGAACACAGTTGAAATAAAACACAGTTGATATCTCAACTAAATATATCTTGTTTGTTCTCTTTACAGCTGGATTAAATATAACGTAGGAATAGTTGGAGCGATTCTTTGACAAATCACGATGATTTTCACAACAGCATATTTAAAAATTTACAGCTGAAAAATAGAGATTGTAACATCTGACGCTCTATGTTCTTGAAATGAATATATTTATATAATCCAACATTCATTTTGTACATTTATTTTTTTTACATTCTCCAATACATATATAAATAGCTTTTTCTAATTTTTCTGGAAATATGAAAATATGATCAAAATAATTTATTAATTTAACAATCTCATCTATTGATATATTTTCAAAATGTATAACACTGTTAAGGCACAAATAAGATTTAAGAATTTATTACGTTGCAGAAAATATAATTTTTTAAACATTTTTTATAGAATTATGTTTTTATTCGAAATTTCTGACATTTTCTAGATTTTGATATAAAAATTTGGATATTCTATATAAAGCTCATTTTTAAGATATCTATAATTTAAATTCCAAATAGAAATTTGTTTACTTTGTACGTCCCATGATACATAGTAAATTTACAAATTTAAATAATCAAATATATATGAAAATATAGCAGTTTTTAAAATTTAAAATTGTAAATAAAACTTTAAATTCAAATTGTAAATATTTTCTTGGGTCTTTGGGACTGTATTGTTATATTTTTTGCACTTAAATAAATTAAATATACACAAATATTAGAGTTGAAGAGAATATATCAGATGTATGCATAAAAACAATAATACATCATAAAATTGTTACTATTAAAAAAATTGTTATTGTTAAAACTATACGAATTTACACATGAAGACATTTGTATCTATAGATACACCTCAAAGAAATAACTTAAAGATCCACTCGTATTCAGAACGCGCTTACAACGATGTTAGCTAACATACCATACTTTACGTTATGCATATTATATAATTTCAGAGATAAAAACATGCTTTTATATCAATAAAAGAGTTCTAAATATGGGCTTAAGGGCCAGTTTCACCAACGCCAGTTAGTTTAACCGGGCATTGACTGACTAATCGCATTTGCTGTTTAATAGAATCGACCAACTACTGTTGATCACGATTAAGCTTGATCAGCGTTGAAACCGGCCCTAAATATTTAAATGTTTAATTGAAGCATTAAAGATCATAGACAATTTTGTAGCAAAGAAACTCATCAAAGTTCTTATCTAAAAGGCTTTAAAAAAATTGACGAAAAAAATCGAAACGTTACTTAAAACGAGACAGCAAAAAAAAAGAGCGCAAGAAAATATTCGAAATTAATTGTCTATTTATAAAAAAAAAATATCGGCAGTATATTTAGGCTACAGTCGATTTGGACGTTTTTCAGTATTTCTATTCTTATTTTACGTCTAATGAATAAACGATAAAGACAGAATGGCTACATTTAGCGGACTCAACAGTTGAGTAAACGCTCCCTGTTATTGACGTATTTTTCCAAATCTAAAATGCTGATTGGATGATCTAAAAGAACACACCAATAACAGCGAGTACTCACACAACTGTTGAGTCTGCTGAATGCAGCTAATGATAATTACAAGCGCGTGAGCGTCCAAATCGACCGCAGTCATAGATCCGTATTCAGA